CTGTTTAATCTAATGGCGAAGATACCATTAGATTAACCGAGAACGATTGAGCTCAAATGTTTTTTCCTCAAATGACTCGCCGGCTCGGTCTTGACTTCGGGTCAATTAATACCATAATCGGGAATAATGGCATAATTTAAAGGCTCGTACGGCTAATTAAGTGCGAGCGACATTAACCGCGTATAGTGCATTAAAGGAGAGAGAGAGAGAGAGAGAGAGAGAGAGCTCCGGACCTTATTTTCCCGTCGGTTATACTTTACGAGTGCAATAAAAGTCGAACATTCCGCAGCGAGGAAACATTCCTCCCCTTATTTGTCCGATCGACATCGGCCAACAAAGATGATCAGCTGTAACGATAATAATCAATCGTACGCGTCGAGGGATATTGCAGCGCGCGCGGCAGAGCAATTCGACGAACGCGGAACCAATTAAGAGCAAGTAATACGGCAGTGCATTAGAGACGCCGGCGCCACTTCGCGAGGCATTAAACACCCACGACCCGCCTCGTAGCGCGAATCAAATGCACTGAATCAGCGGAAACGCCGGGGCGTCAGTCCCGCGGAGATTCCACGGCATCTCCTCGACACCTTCCTCGGCCGCGGCCTCGCATCGCGGCGAGACGCGCCGCGGTGCCGCCGGTGATACAGGGGAGGCGTCCGACGCGAAAATTACGCGCCTCTACTATCGCCGATACTCTTCCTAATTATTGGACCGGCGACGGACGGCCGATATGACAGGCAGGAGGGATCTCGGTCCTCGCCGTTCTCGAACGATACGCGCTCTGGGGTACGCCGGCGGAAGGATGCGCTGCAAATAGGACGACGGGGGCGGGGAGGCGGGCGGGATGGACGCTGCAGGTAAATCTAGGCAGCGGTTATTTAGTAGGAGATAGTGGAGCCTACTGCGAGAGAGCGCCTACTCTCTCCGACGCGGCATGCTACTCCGTAAGGGGCGGCGAGGAGGAAGAGGAACCGAACTAGGAAGAACACGGAGGCGCAGGAGGCGAAGGAGAGGAAGAAGCGGATGACCGAGAAGAAGGATCGGGAGGGGGAGGAGGGAAGACCCTCGGCTGCCAAGGCGCTTCACTCGAGGCGCGTATATACACCGTGGGCGCCCGGCCGCCGCCGCCGCTGCTGCGGTGGAACACACCGCGAAAGCAACACCGGCTCAACGGATGAACGGTAGGCAGGAGGTCTTCTCTACGTACTCACGTATCTACGTACGTACGCAAGTAACATAGCTAACGTAGGTACCTACATGCAG